TAATGCAACTCACAATTTTAACTATCCAAGTTACACAGACGCCATTTTTTTTCCATTGAAAGATAAGACTTGAGAAGCACCAGTTGTTTTTTGGATAACGCTGGAGTATAGACGTGGATAGTCTACGCTTGATCCTCACTAGTACATACGAGCTAGTGCAGAAGACAAGTGTGACTGAACCATTACATAACAAAGGCCAGAAGTAAATAAACTTACAAACTCTCACAAGTTCCTTAAACATTCAATAAATTATTCTTTTTAAACAAACCTACATTCTGCATACAAAAAGTAGGTGCTTTTGAGTATCTCCCAAGAGATACTCTGTCCTTGATCAGATCTCACCCTATCCTTTTAAAATAAAACAATACTAATTCCTACTGGTGTTTAAATCCAACAAAAGAATAACGCTAGAGGGGCCAAAGCCAGTTTGAGATCTATTTGCTAGATTCCTTATAAATTTAATAAATTATATGCCTTTGGATAGAAACTGTCCAGTTATGGCAGAATACCATGATTAATATTTACATTGACAGTGAGTTCCTCTTTTAAAAGCTAAGCTTCAGGGAAGGAAACTCAACTAGAATGTTGAAGTGTTACTAAGAAAAAAGGTCAGGCGGCAATTTAAGATGTCAAGACCCATAAAATCAGAGGACGCAATTATATCCCAAATACAGTACAGCCCAAAATGGCTACACAATAGGAAAAGAAAACACAAATAACAGGGTGGGCTTGGGAATCAAAGAAACCACTTGGCTTGGTTAAAAACATTGACGTAGCGGGGTTATACGAGTCCAACATGAATAAGAATATTTCATCTTTTTCTAGGTCTTATTTCTGAAGTTCACTCACCGTAACTGCAATAGGGGGTGGTTCAGATGGAGCCATGGAGCTTTGGTACGCTATCCTACTATGCACAGAAATCTGTTCATAGGAGGAAGTTGTTGTTACCAGGCTAGTGCTCTGGGATGAGCAGGTCAGGCTAGAAGAGGTGATGGCAGAGGTTGTGTAGGTGGACTCCTGTACTGTATTGGATATTGGCAAAGAGGTATTCAAAGGATCACTGGAAAAAGTAAAAATTATTTACTATGATGGTAAATTAGATATCAAACACCTTCATGAAAATATCAGCTCCTACACAGCTATCTAAAACTACTTAAATAAGACATAGTCAGATTTACACTATTTATTTTAGAAGAAATCATGAAAAAATACAGTTTTGTTTTGGTCCCCAATAATTACTTCAAAAACACCAGCTGCTTTAAGCACCATTCACCTTCCTCCTGTAAGCCCAACCAAACAATACTTGACACACACTTGTCAACTTATTTCCATCCTCTCAAAGGATAAATTCATGATTATAACCTTTCCTAATAAACTAGATCCATAAAGTCCAGAATATGATGATAAACACCTAATCTTTTTAGAATAGAAATCTAACATTACAGTAGCAGTCTAACACAACATGCAAACAATAAAAAAAACCAACCCTGAAACATGCAGAAGTTTTATTTTCTAAACAGCTTAAATCATTTATAGAACTAGAAATGAATGTGGAAGTTCGTTTTTACTAGTGTTTCTGAATAAACTTCAGGAAGCTTTCTACTGAAAGCTAAAAGAGTAAGGAATAAAAATGGGTTATTGATACATTTGTCTTTATCATCACCTATTTCAGCATTTCAGTAAAAGCTTCTGCAGACTGAAAAGCTTGGCTTTTCTCATTCTATAGGAGCATCAGATCTGCAATCTGGTGCCAATCTACTGACACACATATATGGTACAAGGTTCATCTATCCTTGATCAAAAGCAGAAAAATTGAAGTTGTAAGGAACAAAGCCTCTGGCAAATTAAAAAAAATCGGGAAAATCAAGCATGAGGAAGCAATTCTATAAAAGGTAGCTTGCTTTAAGGTTCTTTCCATTCATGTCATCTGCAGCTTCAAATCAACCTGTCCATGAGGTTTTGATTGTAATTAGGAGACTTCTTTTAACATGCCATCCACAGAAAACAGCCTTACAAGCCACCCTATTTCCCCCTCCCATTACACAGTAATGGTGCCTTGACATATTTTACAAGAACTTGACCCTTCAAGAGGACATTTCAGAAGGCACAAGGGGAACTCACACGTACTTTACAGATTTTGAGTACGAGCTATTGTTGGTCGCCTGGCTGGTATTCTCACTGCTTGAAGTTGATCCAAACTCCGGGAGTGCAGACTCTGATCCAAACTCAAGAGCTCCAAACTGAACATTTAACCCTGTCACATCAGCTGACCCAGGCATCTCCACTGCAGAAGCAGGAATCTTAAAAGGGAAAGATAAGCCACAGTTCCTTTCTGTGTACTATCTGTATTAAAGATACCAGTGACTGACACTCTTCTCCCATAACTAGACTTCTTCAGCTACTGCCTCAATCTTTCCTCTTAACTACATCTGTCACAAAGCCCCAGTTTGCATCACAAATTAATTCCATCATTTCAATCTGAAATTCATTTATAGATTCTTAGATCCAATCTGGGGCTGAAAGTGTTAGCCACTGTATTTTGCGATACACAACCATCACCCATGCCCACCCCCATTCATCCAACATTCAATTTGCGGCCAGTTAAGTCAATCCAAAATCACTCAGCATCAGTCATTTTCCACACAGAACAATCAGGTATGTGCTTGGAAAAGACAACATCATTCTATTTTGGACTGTAGAACTATCCAGCTTAGAATTCCCTGCTCTATAAACAGAAAACATATGATGGTCTTTGCCCCTCTTCTCCCTAGAAACTTATACGCAATGATTAAGTACTTGGTGCCACCAAATTACCCACCTTGGATGCTGGAGTTATCCTCCGTTTTGGTGGTTTTATCTGTTTCTGCTGGGTTTGATGGGCTGTCCCTGCCTGGTTCTCCATAGACATACTGGGCAGCTGTAACATTTTGCTGACAGCTGTAGAGGTGTCTACCAGGGATGGCTCTCGGAGTTTCACCTGGGATGAGAAGGACTCCAGCCCAGGAGGAGGAACAGGGACTGCCTGTGTTTGTTGCTGCTGTCGCTGGGTCAGCTGGCTCAGAACTGGGGATGGTTCAGGCTGGGATTTAAAGTCTGGACAGCAATCGGAAAAAGAAAAATTAAAGCATTAAACTCTGCTCTTCATGAAAGAATCTGGGTGACTTGACACACTTGACAGCTATTATTTTCTAGTGCATGCATCACACAAGTTCCATATAGAATATTACCATTGCAATAACAATGCCAACATTTGATATTCCTTATCTTAAATGAACACATTTCATCAAGCATTATTTAGCTTTCTTTACGTTAGGCATCAAAAAGCTTGTGGATTATTTTAGTCAAAGATGGCAAGTTTCACTGCAATTAACTGTACCAATAAACTGTGATAACTTTCAAGGTGTTTGGAGTTGCAATTTAGATGTATTATGAGTTATGATTTCCTGCCCCACAAAGGCAAAGATTTTCAACACAAGGAGGAATTCATCTACCATCTCCATCTGGCTGAAAGTCAAGACACACTGGATATAGACAGTTTTTTCCCCTATGTTTTTCTCTTCCCCAGTTTTCAGATGTGAAAGCCAAACAACAGCTTGAAGCATTGGCCATCAACCATAAGTCCATATCACTTGCAATCTGACGGGGTTTTTTATTCAGTTGGCAAAGTGCATTAGAAAGCAACTCAAAATGCATACAAACATTTTTTTCAGAATTACTGCATGTAAAATATTACAGCTGCTATCAAATTGGCTGCTTTATCTATTTGAAAACACACACATACAAGAGCTAGATACAAGAACTATCATTCTTTAGTGAGAACACTGCTACAAACTGAACTGCAAAGAACAGCTTCTTATCACGTTCACCGCTGTTCCTGTCAATTGTACTTAATTAAATGAAAAATCCATCCAATTACAAACAGACAAAATTAGTAATCTGCATCATTCTGAGCACATGCAGACTTCAAACAAGGAGATATGATGCACTTTATGAAGAAATTATGTAGTGCTCATTCAAAACTCATGTAATAGTTATAAGAGGAAAAAATGGGAGAAAAAATATGGTACAACCTTATATTCAGCTAGAAGCAGCATAGGCACAAAGACTAAAATACTTCTTTTCCAGGATTTGCTGAGAATGAAGTCACATCAAAGTTCCACTTAAATAGACAGGCATACCAAATCAAAGATGTCACTACATGAAGGCTCAACAACTTCTAAAGACTCTATGGATAGGCTTTAGCCCATCACAACTTAGTTTGTGATATATTTGTAATATCTATTACCAGCAGATAAGCTTAACTTAAACCTTGCAACCAATTTTATTATTAGAATTACATTTTAAAAAGCCTTTCATCAATGCCATTTTAAACTGTCATCGACGTTAAGAAATTTTACAGACTAATAGAGAGAGAGATTATGTGAAAGCACTTACCAAACTGACTGAGGACTGAGGACTGAGTAATGGGTGGTTTTAGATCCCAAGACAATGTGGTAGTTGTGGTAGTGGTGGTAGAGCTACTATTGTTTTGTTGAGAGGTAAATTGATCCAAATCTGGAGATTTCAATTGGTCCAAGATTTGGGATCCAGTAGAGTTTGCCAATTTAGAGGATGCAAGTTCTCCAAAGCCAGAACAAAGAACTGCAGACTACCAAAAGACAAGGAGAAAAAAAAAAGGAACAGAAGAATAGAGTTAAAGATTTAATAAATCACTTGAAAATAATCATAAGATCAGAGTTTACAGCTGCTATTTGGCAGCAACTGAAACCTCTTCAGCCCTAGATTACTAATAAATGACAAATGAAAAATTCAGATGTGGCATATGGCCAGATCATCTCATTATCACTAATAAACTTTTACCACTGATTGCAACAAGTGATTTTCTTGAATCCACACATCCCAAAAACATTTAATTACTAACAGCTGAAGAAATTTTCAAAGAATACAAGTGCCCAATTTTAACTCTCATAATCATTAAACAAGGGAAGCCTTTTTCATCACTCCAGAAAACTCAGAAACAGTCATGTTTCCACAAAAAGCAGTTAGATATGTGCTTGGAAATGTCACATCATGGTTTTCTGGCATAGAACTCTTCGGCACAAACGATTCAATCCTAAATCAGCATGCAGTAAACACACCTGCTCCCCACGCAAAAATTAATACAAGTAACTTCATGTAAACCAAGAAAAAATTGCCTAGCAAAAAATAAATAAAAAATAAAAACAGAAAAAAAGTTTTTTGTGTATGTGTGAGAGAGGCTATTCTTAATCCCAGTTCTTCAGCATTTGGGACACAAATTTTACTAATACTGAAACATTTCATGAAATGACCAGTATTGGAAAAGCTGCTTAACCTGAAGTATTTCTTCATGAAGAACACTCAAAGAATAAGATAATTTTACCAGATTCTGAGGAGAATAGGAATTTACAGCACTGGAACTGCCAGTTCCTGATGCCATCTGGGTGCTGTGCTGAGAATTTATGAAGACTAGAGCTTGGCCAAAGGTCTGCTGCTGGGGAGTCTCAAATGAGTTGCCTTCTGTCTCTTGAGTGGAAGTCACAGGCTTCTGAAGCAATGTTACCAAATTAATACTGTAAGAAAAGTAAAGTTTGGCTAGAATAAACATGATGATTTGGCTGTGCTGAAACTGAAGAAAGCAGTAACAATATTAGATAAAGCTGCCACACCAGCAATAGAACTAATACTGATCAATAGCTTTTAAGAATATTGCTTGTCTGCCACAAAAACTCTACACACAAAGAGGAAGAATAGAGGAAGAAAAATCCTGCTAGCTGACACATTCCACTACAATTACAATCGAAATTATCTTTGCACTCTGTCTGAAAAGACCAACTTTTGTAACATCACATATCACATAAATAACCTATATGATCACTATAATCAAGTAACTGAAGACAAGTTATAAAAGATACGTCACATTTGAGTGGATCCTACCTGCCAGCCCATTATATATATATATATCAATTATCCACATTGTACATCACACTATCCCTCTAAAAACATGCAGGGATCTACCCTCTGTACACGATGGGTTTGACGACAGTCAAGAATCAAGTCACAAATACGGCAATTGAGTGAACATGTGGTGACATGGAAGTCCTAAGAACAGCAGAAATAAATGTTTCTCAGACAGCAGCCACATATCCAAAATTACACTACCACAAATACCTAAGCAGAATGAGAAACATGCTTTCTTACACTTAACATGGCTTGTTAATATCTAACAGAGGTTTATCCAAGGAAAATAAAGCATTCAGACAATATAAGATACCAGAATTTTTGGAAAAGTTTTCCTAAACACACTGCAGGCTTGGGCTAAAGAGTTGCTCTCAGTGCTTTCATCACTAGATTTCTTAATGCCCAAAATTTTCTTCTGGCAAGTAAAAAATTACCAAAACTTAATGTGATGAGCTAAAATATTTTCTAACATAATTTGGGGGGCATCCACTGGAAGAATATTTGTTGGGAACTGGCATACAGAACGTGGACATGTGCCCGTGGAACAATTGTTCAATTTGAGCTTGCTTTAAGCAACCAGGGATAGGCCTTAGAAAATCTCAGGGCCTGCTGTAGCTGAGCAAACCAAGCTGCCAGAGTAACTGTGAGAAGCTCCCACGGCTATGACTCCCACATCGCCCAATTAAGGAACTCAGAAAATACTGTTACCAGCAGCTGGCTTCAAGGACAAGGTTTACGTGACTGCTAATCACAAGGGGTTCTTTTCTTGCAGGTGGGGTTGTTTTCTTGTAACTGTCTGAGTGCTTTTGACCAATGATCTTGTGTGAGACACTGTCCGCCCCTGTTAAGTTCACTATAAAAGTTAGGCTATTCGGGCAATAAAATGGAGCTTGCTGATCACTCATATTGAGTGTGCTTGTCTTCCTTCCGTTGACAACAAATGTCCTTGCAACAAATGGCGCCCGAACAGGCTGACAACTGAATGGGATCTGGACACCGCTGGCAGTGAACCTGGGCCACGGTTGGACGGAATACGGGTACCGGTCCTGTAATGCAGCCCAGGAGGTGAAAGGGATGTGGATCGCGGCTTGGTATGAAAGGTGAAAGGGACAAAAACTTGGAACCCCTGCACCCGTGTCGCCGCGGTCTGCAAGGTGAAAGGGACGAAAACTTGGAACCCCTGCACCCATCCGTTTCACCGCGGTCTGCAAGGTGACAGGGATGAAAACTTGGAACCCCTGCACCCGTGTCGCTGAGGTCTGAAAGGTGAAAGGGACGAAAACTTGGAACCCCTGCACCCGTGTCTCGGAAGGTGAAACGGAGTCCCCGCACCCGTGAGCGCCTATAGAGGGTCCCGCCAGATACGCGCCGCCAAGGTCTCGCAAAGGCTGCATCGGTGCTAATATAAATAAAGGTATGGAGAGACAAGTGGCGTATGATTTGCTCAAATGCTTTTTAGAAAAGCGGAGCACGCAGCTTATAGACTGCAAAAACGATTTACCAGCATTATTAGCATTTGGAGTAGCGCAGGGTTGTTTTATCAATCCTGATACAGTTTTTGAACAGAGTGGCGTAAATTTGGGGACAAATTGTTTGATGACGTTATTAATGAAAATAAGGCTGCTAAAAAATTATTGAAGCCTTGGAGAGCAGTCACTAACGCTTTAGCTATGCATCAGGCTGAGCAGAGTGTCGCTGCTGCTACAGAGCGACTGGAATTGCCGGGAGGTGCTGCTAGTGTTAACCCTCAACAGGGAGGGATCGAGGGAGCTGGGGATTGCCCATTGCCGCCTTCAGTGAGAACGATAACGCTGCCTCAGGGGGCTATGGGGCAATGGGAGCCTCCCCCCCCCTCAGTCACCACCACGAGCAGCGTTGCGCTCCGAGCTCCGCAGAATCGAACGGGAGTCGACCCTCACCATGTGGCGAGTCGGCACAGAGCAGAGGGACGGACATCAGGACCCTGCAGCCTGTCTGACGTAACCATGGAAGCAGCGGCAGCTGTGCTGCTTCTCTCTGGCATTCTTTTTATAAGAAGTTTATCTTGCAATGCAAAAAAGACTATTCGTCCCCAGATCGGTGCTATAATTATGTTTCTGGATAACATTCCGTGGGGTTGCCACATTCTACAGATTACTAATGACAACTTAGCTCTATTACTACCTTTATTGCAGGGCAGGAGTGCAGAGATGCAGATTACACTGCCAAATGACCACCGGCAGGCTCTTTCACAAACAGCTTCTAAGGTTGCAGCTGGCACTGCCTGCAGCCGTATAGCAGACATTACACTCTCTTTCCTAACTAGTAATCATGTGTCTCATCCATTTGTGGTGAATGGTCAGTGGCAAAAAGAAAAGGGGGAGAGTAAGGGGCGACAAAGACAGAAACGGTACCAGGAGGATGCCACTGACAGTATCAGCATGGGTAATAGGAGTAGTATAAGTGACACAGGTGCGGGGCGGTGGCGGGCACTGCCGCGCTGTGGGGCACTCTGCCTGCTGCTCGCCCTCACCTGCCTGTGCACTGCTGCTGACAGTGCTAGAGTAAAATGTGAAGACTACTCAGATGGCAGTGATGAGAGTGCTTGTGTGAAGAAGACGTGTGCTGAATCTGACTTTGTGTGCAACAGTGGTCAGTGCGTGCCAAACAGATGGCAGTGTGATGGGGATCCGGTCTGTGAAAATGGGTCTGGTGAGAGTGCTGATCTGTGTCCTATGAGAACATGCCAGGTAAATGAAATCAGCTGTGGTCCTCAGTCAACCCAGTGTATCCCAGTGTCCTGGAAATGTGATGGTGAAAAAGACTGTGACAGAGATCCTGACTGCAAGGACTGGGGTGATGAGTCCCTGAAGGAATGCATCATAAATGAATGTGACTGTCCAGCTGGGTTTGAGTTTGTAGACAAGAGAAACTATGGAGATATTGATGAATGTCAAAACCCTGGTATCTGTAGTCAAATCTGTATCAACCTGAAAGGTGGCTACAAATGTGAATGTAGCCGTGGCTATCAGATGAATCCTGCTACAGGAACCTGGAAAGGGCTATATGGGTATAGAAATACAAACAACACCTGTGATTACAATGACACTGCTAGGCAGGGTTTAGGGGTTTATGGCACGGAGACAAGGGGTAACAACTACAGTGTTTGGAACAATTGTGCAGCTTTGGCATTACCTCCTGATGTTTTTCTGATTTGTGGGGATAGGGCCTGGCAAGGTATCCCTGCAAATGCTATCAGATGTCCATGTTACTTAGATAAACTCATTGTATTTGCTTCTAGCTTGTTACAGTTGCATGAGATCACCAGACATAAATGGGCATTGCTTGCACCGGATTGCAATGATAATGTTGAATTGTGTGGGGTTGCAGCTAGAGCGGCATTGGCAATTTTAGTGCCTGGAGTGGCATCTGCGGCCGCACGTAACAACTGCTCGGCTGCGGGGATCGGCTGCGGTGTGGACGCCCCTAGGTGCACCCTGAGCGTTTTGTTTGGAGGGGACTCCACTCTCAGCTGCTTACCGCAGGAGCAGACAGAGATCTCCTGAAGCTGCAGACAAACAGTATGTTTTCAGCTGCTGGAGGGATACTAACTGGAGTGTTAATAATTGCATGTGTTATTCTTAAATGTCCAGGTATTTTGTGTTGAAAGTATTTGTGTAAGGGTAAGGTTTTAAAACAAAGTGTTGCAAGTCACTTCACGAGGAACACAATGAGAGACAATACTTGTTTGCTTGCTTATCATTCTAAATTATATTCTTGTGGTATGATTGAGGTTGTGGTATGATTGAGAGTGAGATGTGCCAGAGGCCTCTGGGTGTGCAAGTGTGTTGTGTGTGTGCGAGTGTGCTGTGTACTGTGTTAGTGAGAGCGCGTTCATAATGAGTCAATTCACAAATCCATTACTTTCTTGAAAGAGCACATGAGAAAGAGTCGATATGGTATCAATCCTTTCAATCAATGGTTCACTGATTTGTTTGAATGATTACTGGGATTAATCAAAGAGGGATTAAGGATTCTGTTCACTGTGGTTTCAATCATCATTGCATGTAGTATTGTGATAAATGTGGTTAAAGGGTTACTTGCAAAAATGTTATAAAATGTTATA